GCTTGTTATATTTTTGTCCCGGGATTTCAGTTCTTCGGCCTACCATTTGCATGTTGGCATTGTATGCGTGCTTGTGTGGCTTTTGTGTGGTGGATCGATTAGTGAATACTTGGTCTGGATTTGGTGTTTGTTCCACCGGGGGCCTAGTCCACTGTCCAAATCGCTCGATTTGAGGGTCCCCGGTGTGTTTGTTTGTGTGATTCTCGTGTGAGTGGTATGCTTGTTTCACCGGGAGCCTAGTCCACTGTCCATATCTTTCTATATGAGGGCTCTCAGTGTGGTTTTTGACTAACATTGACCATGTTCGCTCGTGTGCCATTTGTACGTCCTTGTGCTTTGCAGGATCATGGAAGCCTACCTCGACCAATTAAACATCACACAACGCCATTTGCGGCGGACCATCCGTACCCGCCATATCGTCGAGCACCTGCATCTTGATTTTGAGGTGTTTGAGGCGCTTCATGCCAGGCCGCAGATGGAGGCAGTTGTTCGCCCCTATGGTTGGCGGCGCCTTCTCTGCCTCGCCTCGCCGACCTACCAAGAGCTCGTTTGGGAGTTCTACGCATCCTTCCGCCACTCCCCGAGGGGGTCAGCCGACCATTCTGATGCGGTTCATTTCACGCTCGGCGGGGTGGAGCACTCCATCAGTTACTGGGAGTTGGCCTCTGCACTTCGGCTCAACTCCCCGCACCCCAGCGACCGGCCCCTGTACGTGGATGTGACCGATCCCATCGACTTTGCTTGCCAGGCTTACTTCCAGCGCATCTGCCTGCCAAACCACGTGGATGAGCAATACGTCGCCAGCAAGACGCGGGCCACTCTCCTCCGTCCGGAGTGGCGAATCCTCAACCACCTGCTCACTAGTTCCTACACTCCCAGCCGGGGCTCGTCCAACCGAGTCACCCTCCAGACCCTGTTCTTCATGCACGCGATGGGTCGCTCTGAGGACACCATCGAGCTGGGCTTGGTGCTTACCCGGACATTCACCAAAGCCTCCGCTAGCCAGGATCGCCACCTTGTCTGTGGCCCGGTGATCACAGCCCTGGCCCGCTACTACGGGGTCGACACCACTGGGATGACGATAGTCCGCCCACCGACCCCACTCAGCGAAGCCACCGCCGCCATCAGCACATGGTGGCTCGCCAAGGGCGTTTGCACTGGATTGTGGGTCTCCCAAGGCCTCTTGAACATGCAGAGGGCGACCAGCCAGAGTCGAGCGCGGCTGGGGGACGCTGGGTTCACCGACGTACTATTCCTCGTGCCCAGGCTCCCGCGAGCCCCTCCGTTGCTCCTGGGTCTCCTGCTCCCGTGGTGCCCATTTCTGACCAGTTGGCGGCCATCGCTCAGCAGAACGAGCGCATTCTGGCCGGCCAGGAGAGCATTCACACCCGCCTCGATCGTGAGCTGGACCGCGGCCGTCGTCTTATGTCCGGCCAGCACTACATCATGTCCTACCTGGGCCTAGACCCGAATGCAGTTCACTACCCCTTCGTGCAGTCTCCGGGGTATGAGGACGAGTACCCCCCACCCACCGGCGATGGTGGTGATGCGTTCTAGTGGTGAGTGGCTGGTTCTGCATTTCATTTCTTTTCTAGACTGAGATTCCATGTTCTTGTTGTGTCGTTTTGTTTTATTTTATTTTATTTTATTTTGGATTGTGGACTTGGAACTCCGGTTCTTTCACCCAGTGTGTGTCTTTTGTTGACTTTAGCTCTGTGTCTTGGGCTGGTTCCCCTTCCAGTCCCCTGCTATTGACTGGTCTGCCTCCCAGTCTCCGTTCCTGATCTCATTTCACGGTAACATCGTTCCCCTTTCCTCTACTCCATTGAGGACATTGTCGCATTTAAGTGTGGGGGAGTTCTTTGTATTAATTGGAACGTATATATGTGTGCTTGGAGCCTGGTCCGCTGTCCAAATCTCGAGATTTGAGGGCTCCAAGTACTGCTGTTTGCTTGATGTTTGATAGTATTGGCACTGTGGATGTGATTGGTGAATGGAATGGCTTTTGACTTAATGCATGACAACTTGAGTATGACTAAGACAGCTTATTATGATGACTGAGATGTGCAGTGGAGTTGTGTAGGGGTTCACTTTTTCAACTGTTTGCTTACCAACTGTGACTTGAATTGATCACTTCCTCTTGACAGTCGTTTATGCATCTAGTTCAGGGAATCAGAATGAGAGATAGAGCATATAGGTAGCCATGTGAGATTTGAGCCTGCTCGTTTCTTTCTTGTGCGATAGTTCCCTCTTCCGTGATGTGCAGCATTCACGTTGTCATTAGCTAAGATGATGGAGCCATAGGATTAGCCCACGACCAAATTGACTGTCCTGGTGTGTCATACCCCCTAGTCAGCCCCTTTGAGCCGTGTGTTATCCTTTCTTTCAGTCTACAATGAAAAAATCACCCTTTTGCATCTCTTAGAAGGTTCCACAGAGTGGTTTTTACATGTTTTCTGCTGTTCTGCTAAATGTAATGTGAGGGTTGGAGGTAGTTCTTAAAAAGGTGGGCATGTGTTTGAAAAATGTGAATAGGTGGTGGTCCTCTCAAGAAATGAAAGAAACAAAGAAAAAGAAAAAAAATGAATGAAAGCAAAAGAGAGCCACCACCAAAAATCTGAATAGTGCCCGGTAAGTAGTGCTCTTAGCAGTCTGGCTTGGAAGTACTAACATTTATGTGACCTCCTTCGCTCTTGTGCTCTTAAGAACTCGAGTAATGCAGAATGGCAGAAAGAAAGTAAGTGGTTTGATTGGTTGTAATTGTGTTGGGTTTGGAATTGTGGAACCTTGTGCTATGAATACTTCCACCACCTAAAAGGCCTTTTCCCCATGTCCAAGACCCTAGCCAGTCATTTTAACCTGTGTCTAAGACCTCCGGATTAGTTAGTGATGACACCCCATATGTGGCATTTTTCGCATCAAATTGTCTTGGCCCCACTGGTCGAGAGTGAGTGATTCATTTTCTCATATTCTATATACTCTTTATCCCGGTGAGGACCTAGATTGCTCGGTCTTAATTCTGATATCTTGAGCTTTATGCATGAAGTGACTGTCTGGAATAAGTGGTTGAGTCGAGTCTATGTTGGTTGGTGAACAGAAGGGAGACTTTTCCTTTGCTCGACTTTGCTGCATTCGAATGTCACCTGTGGTGGTTGTCTAGGTTGTCGTTGAGGTTGTCCATGTGTTAATGACCAAAAGCCAGAATGATCCACGTGTTTTGTGCCGATATGATATGCCCTAAAGCCTGCTTGATTGAAACGTTTTGATCTTACCTTGTGTCTGACTTGGTTTGCTTAGGGACAAGCAAACGGTTAAGTGTGGGGGAATTTGATAACGATGTAATTGCACATATTTGCACCCCTAGTTCGTATCCGTTTGTGGGACGTATTCGTGTATTTTTTGCCTATTTTACGTCGGGTTGTGCTACTTTGTCATATTTCAGGTCCTAGACGTTGAAGGAAAGGCTAAGCACGAGTTTCGTGGCATTTGGAAGTCATTCGGTTGAGCTGGAGCTAAAGCACGGGCGCGCCTAAATCAAAGCACGGCCGTGTTCTTGGACCGTGTTTTTATTGCCGAGGCTTGATCCAAGATTGTCCTGCGCTGGCCCAAAACACGGGCTGAACTGACTCAAAATACGGCCGTGACTCAAAACACGACCGTGTTTCCCCCCAAGGTGTGGCCGTGTTTTTAACACGTGGCAAGGGCATGGCGGGCAAAACCAAAGCACGGTCGTGCCCTCGACCGTGTTTTGCCCAGGGTCGGCCTTTTTAGGCAGATTTGAGCCAAAGGAAAAGGGGTTCCGAGTTTTAGAGAGACAGAGCGATTCCTATAGAGAGAAAGCGACGAACCAGAGTTCCCAAGTGCCCTAGCTTGATCTTCATCACCATTGGAGCCCGGCTTGAGCTTGGAGAAGATCCGATTGAGCGCCAGAAGTAGATTATCATCCTTCACAGTATGGTTTCCGCATCTGAGCTAGATTTCCCATCTCTCTCTATGGAGTAAACTTATTATTCACCTGGGTATGAAGAACCCTAGATTTGTATGTTAGGTCTGATTGTATGAACCCAAGTATAGATTCTGTGATTTGATTATATTCAATTGAGGTTTGATTTATTGAATGGCATGAATCCTGATCAAATTCATGTTGTTTCTGCTTTAACCTAGAAAGAGAATATCTGCCTAGGACTGATAGAGCACCCTTGACCCTTGATTGAAGGTAGGGATTTGGTGACTTTAGTCGATGAGCCAACTCACTATTCTGTACCGAATTCACTTCGGTAGTGGAGGTTTTGTTCATTAGGGCCTCAATCTATTTACTCTAGTGGAGGTTAGTCGCCCGCTGGAGACTCAGATTGAGAGGGTCTGAAGACCTTTAGTCGAGACTTCAGGCTGTTTAAGAACCTTCCGCAGTATAACTATCATAGAAACTGAATTTGTTAATTGCAATCCGGCTTAACTGCAGTCTAGGGGGAACCATTTCCGGGTGACCTCTCTCGACTTGAAAACAACTGTTTAACTGCTTGCTTGTTTGTTAGTTTAGACCTGCACTAAAGTTTACCGCTAGATAATAAGAATTCACTAAGTAGTCATCACATCTAGGACCCGGATTGACATTAAAACCCAAACCCGCCATACTACGCTTTAGGAAGTGGTTACACTTGGCTATTTTCTAAAGTGATAGTAGGAGTGAGTCAGTAATACCGATATCGAACCCCAATGCTATGTCGTTTTATTTGGCCCCCAAACCCTAGACCCTAGTTTCTAACAGAAACCCACCCACACCCAGAGGCAGCGACCCAGCCGCCACCCCCCTCTTTTCTTCTTCATTTTGAAGCTGCACCATCAAAGCCCGTCGCCTGCTTGACGAACAGCGGACGAAGTTGTCGATCCCCATCGACGAGAGGTCGAGGCTGGACCCTCCACTCCCTCCTGAATACTTCGGCAACATGGTGTTCCATGCCACCCCGATGGCTTTAGCCGGAAAGCTCGCCTCCGAGCTAATGGCGGCAACGCCGGGGAGGATTCGAACGGCGATCGAGAGGATGGACGACGAGTACCTGAGATCGGCTGTAGATTATATTTCCAGGAAGATGGTGGTGCTGAAGGCGTGATGATTCTGGGTCCGGGACCTTGTCGGTCGCCGAACTTGAAGTTAGTGAGCTGGATGAGGCTTCCTTTCGAGAGAGTGGATTTTGGGTTCGGGAGGTCGTGGTTGGCTCGGCTGGTTGATGAGGAGGAGGTCGAGGAGGAGAAGGAGGAGGAGGAAGAAGAAGAAGAAGAGGAGTATAGTGACGATGAAGAAACCACAATGATTAGTGATTCCAAGTGATACAGTACGAGCAAGGCTAAGAGGAAATTTAGCCAACTAGTGATCATTAACAAGAATACGACCAATCTCGCGTGCAATAGGTTTGAAGCATGCTTGGTCCACAAAATTAATCATAATCCAAGGACTCTATGATCAACTAAATTCATCTCTTCAATCTAAATTTTGAAGTCCAAAACACTTTGATTAATAATTATGATATTGCAGGCTTCTGAAAGCTCTGTTATGGCATTAAAGTCTGCCATAAACACTCTAGGCTCTCCAACTACTTTCAATTTGAGCAACTCCAGATATAACTACTAGCATTCCTATGTTGTATGAGGACTATAAATAACAGTAACAACACACTCCTCCTCAATCTTTCATGTATAAAATGCTCTCCCGCAATACCTTGGTGACCTTGAACTTCGGTTTCCAAAATAACCAAAATCTTGAAGACTTGGAGTAATGATTCTCGTGTTTTAGGCCGATTTCACGCTAGGTTGTGCTTGTTTGTGATATTTCAGGTCCTATTACGTGAATGGAGGCCTGGGAGCGAGTTTGTGGTCGATTGGGCGAAGATCGGGCGCGAGGCAAGCCGATGAGGAAGCAACACGGGCACACACAAACACCACACGGCCGTGCAAGTAACCAATGTGGCCGTGTGGGATTGTGCGAGCCTTCACACGGGCACAAATACATTCCACACGGCTGTGTGAAGGAGCAATGTGGCCGTGTGGAATTCTGCGAGAGAAAACACGGGCAGAGCAGATTTTACACACGGCCGTGTGAACCTGGCCGTGTGGGAAGCCTGAAACTCAACTATTCGATACGCCGCGTTTTGAGTCACACGGTCAACTGGGTGAGCCACACGGCCGTGTGGCCTGCCCGTGTGTGTCGGGAATTTCTGGTTTTTACCCAATTCCGAGCCACAAGTGAGAGAATCGGATTTTCAGAGCAAAAAAACAGAGCCCTAGAGAGAGAAAGTGCGAAGAACATATCCTAGAAGCTATCTTGGAGCTGGGTTTCATCAAATCGAGCTTGGAGATCGCCATAGGAGTGGAAATCATCATCCCAGAGCAGATTTTCCTCATCTTTATGAGTATGACTACTCTGATTACTGTTTTCTTCTCTCTCTCTATGGAGTAGAACCCTTCTCTCACTTGGGTATGAGGAACCCTAGTTCCTTGTGTTAGGGATTTGATTGTAATTACTTGGAGTGATTATACTGTTTGGTTTTAATCGAATGATGCATGTTTATTGAATTGATTGAAGTCTGATCAGCTTTTCTTGATTTCTGCTGCAACCTGAGATAGATAGAATCTGATTAGGTTGTTAGAGCCTCTTCATTCAATAGTAGGAGATTGGTTATACGAGAGTTAGCCAGTTTACAGCTTTGTACTGGAATTCAATTCCAGTAGTGGAGTTCTGTGTTCATAGCCTCAGCTTTCTATCCCGGTGAAGACTAGTCGTCTGCCGGGTAGTTAGACTGAGAGGGCTTGGTCAGCTTAAGAGATTCCAAGCTACTGTCGGATCTTCCGCAGTCTAATCAACAGTGAATCAACCCAGGGTAATTACAATTGAACCTAACTAAGGAGCTAGGGGGACTCATTCCCGAGTGACTCTTTCCTGCTTTAGAAAACCGAACCATTTCCTGCTTTCTTACTGCTTTTCGTTTTAACAACAATCACTCGACTTAGTTGGCTAGATAATAGATAATCACGTAGTAAGCAGTTGATCTAGACCCCGGGTTGATAATAGAACTTGCCTGTTACTACATTCCCGGACTGCGATTACACTTGGTCGCAGTTTGGTGTTGTGTTTTGGCGTGTCAAGTTTTTTGCGCCGTTGCCGGGGAACCTCTAGGTTATTGGGGAAACGTGAGAATATGTTACTCTAGTTTTTTCTTTATTGCATTTTTTCTCTTCCACCTGTGTGCCTTCACGGGTTGCTTTTGCTGGTTGTGTGCAGGTAGTGCATGACCCGTAGCCAGTCAGGAGAACTACTACCATTAGACCAGGAGCTTGAACAGACCTGCAGGAACTTCAAGCGGGCTCTAAAGGCGCGACTGGCTGCGGAGGAGGCGCTAGCACATCTGCAGATCACTAACGAAGAGGAGATGGATGAACCACAGAACCATGATGTGATCAATCCAGAGGAGCAGACCATGGGATCCTACTGGACCGCTAGAGCTGCGGACATGAGGTCACCCATTCAACACCCTCATGTCCCAGCCAACAATTTTGAGGTGAGCACCTCAGTAATCACCATGTTGCGCGGTTCGGTGGTGTTCCGTGGCAAGGAGGGTGAGTGCCCCCGATCGCATTTGAGGAGATTCCACGAGCTGATTGATGGAATCAAGATAAATGGGGTCCCAGCAAATGCCATCCAGCTGAGGTACTTCCCATTTACTCTGGAGGGGCAGGCAAAGGAGTGGCTAGACACTCGACCTCCGGGCTCTATTACCACGCTACCATCCTCCATCCAAGACGGCTGACCTGCAGAAGCAAATTACCCATTTTGCTCAGGATGAGGATGTGACCATCAGAGATGCATGGGAGAGGTACAACAGTCTCTTCCGGAGGTGTCCAAATCATGGCTTCAATGATGCTTTCAAGGTGGGCACCTTCTATCACGCCCTCTTCCCAGAAGACAAGCAGCTGATTGACTTGGTTTGTGGTGGGAACATGCTGACCAAAACACCGCCACAGCTGAATCAACTCTTTGAGGAGATGGCAGAGAACTGGTATGATTGGGGCACTGCTAGGAGGTCGAGGAGAGCACCAAGCCATGGTGTACATTCTGTGGGAACCCATTCCTCTAATTTGGTGCAGGTAGTATCGAAGCTGGTTTCAGCTATCGATCGTTCCGGGATGATTCCAGGGACCGGAAAGCAGCAGGCGATGCTCTGCCACTGGTGCGAGAGCACCCATCACACGGTGGAAGACTGCTAGGAGATGAAGGAATCGACCACACCCCAGGAGCAGGTGAACTTCATCAATAATGTCAGGCGCAATGACCCCTACAGTAACACTTACAATGAGGGGTGGCGCCAGCATCCCAACTTCTCCTGGGGTGGGGCAAATTATAGACCACCAGTCCCCCAGGGGCCACCGGGCTTCCAGAGGCCACCATATCAGCCCAGACAGGGGCAATTCCAGCAGCAGCAACAGTCTCTCTACCAACCCATGCAGGGGCATGCTGCTCAATCACAGCCGCAACCTTTCCAGCAGTCAGGTGCAGCCCCTGCTACCCCAGTGCAGAATGATCAGATGGCTGAATTGCGGGACTTGGTGGGTTCTCTCGCCAGTTCTAGTGCTCAGAAATTCAACACTATCGAGTAGTTCATGGAAAAGACCTCGAGTAAATTTCTGGCTCTTGAAGCTGGCCAGAGGAACACACAGGCTGTCTTGCAGGATATCCAAACCCAGCTGGGGAGCGTGGCTCAGGCAGTGGCACAAAGGGCTCCTGGTACTCTACCCGGTCAGACCATCCCTCATCCACAGAACCCGAATGAGCACTGCAATGCCATCACAACTAGGAGTGGCAAGATGACTGTTGATCCACCTATTCGGGAACAACAGAGAGAGACCCCTATCTTAGCATCTCCAGCGGTTGAACAAGAAGTAGAGAAGGAGGTTGAGGTGCCTGCACCTAATCCGCAACCGGTAGTGAAGGAGTATATCCCGAAACTCCCCTTCCCTACTCGGTTGCACAGAGAGAGGCTGGAGGCAGAGTTTGAAAACTTCATGTCCATGCTTAGGAAGCTGAATGTCCAAGTGCCCTTCCTGGAAGCACTATCTCAAATGCCTAAGTATGCGAAGTTTCTGAAAGAGCTTCTCTCAAAGAAGCAGAAGCTGAGTGAGCTGGCCACTGTGGAGCTCAACGAGGAGTGCTCGGCTATTCTGCAGAACAAGCTTCTGCAGAAGCAGAAGGACCCAGGTAGTTTTACTATCCCGTGCTCTATAGATAAATTGCATGTAGAGAGGTCCTTGGCGGATTTAGGCGCTAGTATCAATGTTATGCCGTATAAATTGTTCAAGAAACTAGGCCTAGGTGAACCCCGTGCTACTAGGATGAACCTTCAATTAGCTGACCGATCTGTAGTGCATCCTAGGGGCATAGTGGAAGACCTTCTGGTTAAGGTTGGAAAATTCAATTATCCTGTGGATTTTGTTGTCCTAGACATCAATGAGGACAGAGAAGTGCCCCTTATACTGGGAAGGCCTTTCCTGGCCACCGCCAAGGCTCTCATAGATGTGCATGATGGGACCTTGGTTTTGAGGGATGGCGAGGAGCGAATAACGTTTTCAATTGCTAATACTCTACTTGCTTCGTCACCTCTGCATGCTGTATCTCACCAGGAGCACGAGTCTGTCGTGTATCCTTCTGTGTTTCCTATTTTGCAGGAACCGCCTCCCATACCTTCGCCGCCACTCCCATTCACTCTGTCACCAAAAGAACATATCAAGGAGGAGTGGCGGCCGAAACTGCAGGCAGCTAAGCCTGCTCGAAAGAAAACCAGAGTCCACTACGAGCTGGACCCGCCCCACCTTGGCCATCCGAGTATTCACTCGCTTGCATCTTGCCGAATGGCCAAGTCGAGTTGCCAAATGCTGGTGGCCACATTCGTCGTGTGCATGGCCACCATTTGAAGCTGTACCTCAAGAGCGATGTGGATCCGCTCTTGAAGGCACCTGATCCTACACTTCTCTGAGCATCCACCCACTGGCGTCCAGCTAAAAGACGGTAAAGAAGCGCTTGTGGGGAGGCAACCCCACCGAGGTTTGCATTTTCGTACTTTTT